GCCCTTCCCAGGAGTCAGGAGTCTAAGAAGTGTGCCCGAGGGTGTGCTGCCTCCCTTCCTGCCTCGGGACATCTGACTGGGGGCAAGGGCACTCCACAGCTCGTCTGGTCGGGAGACTCCCGAATTCAGCAAGTAGGGTAGACCTGGAGACACCACAGTACTCCAGGTGCCCGAGGCTCTTCGAGCTGCCTGCAGGACCTGATAGCCCCAGAGTGGGCTGTGCTGGCTCTGCAGCAGGAGCTTCGCTTCGGGAGGCCTTTGACACAGCGGTTCCTTAGGGGATTGACGGAGGCGAAGCAGGTGAGCGCCTCTGAGACTGACGCAGGTGCTGTGGGTACTGCCTAATTGCGTGGGCTTCTTACAGTGGGTAGCAGCTCCTGGGAGTGACCTACAGAGCAGCCCCTCACCTCTGTCTGTGCTCGAGAAGCGCCTTCCTGCTGGTAGGTTAAGGGTAGCCCAGCCGATCTTCCAGGGACGGGGGGGGGGGGGCTGGGCCGAGGCGGGCGGGGTGGGGGGGAGTGGGGGGGGTGTTACAACCAGGCTACGTGCAGGATCAGTTTCTGCAGGTCCTCCTGTGCTGACGGCGCCGGCCAGAGAGCCAGATGAATGCCAGGGAAAACCACACAAGGCACGTGTGTGTGCGCCCAGGAGGGGGTAGGGGAGAGGGGTGTGGTGTGGCCATCCCATGGGTGCTGTCTTGTTTCTGTCTATCTTTCTCTCTGGCGAGTGCACATGCCCTATAGCAAATTGAGAAAAAGAAACAACCTGGCAAATGCCAGTGCCAGCTGCAGGGCCTGGTGGTGAAGGCAGCTGCTTGGCCAGCCCCCTGGTTGGAGTCCCAGATCCAGAAGCTTGATGCCATGTGTGCGCCTGCCCCGATCTGGGACTGCGGGAAGACGGGGGCCAGGGACTGTAGCACAGCCATCCCATGGTGCTTTCCCCTCCCTCCCTCTCTCCCTCTCTCTTTCTCTCTCTCTCTGTCCAGTGCATGCGACCTCGGGGGCTGGGGGTGGGGAACAAATGATTGGTAATCAACAGGTTCCCGCATGTCTGCCATAAGGTTTGCAGGGTGGGAGGTGGAGGTGGGGACCGGGAACTGCAGCTGTTCTGGCTACTTCAATCCACACGTTGTCAGACAGTTCTAGCTCTCTGCTGCACCACGACCCTGGTAAGAGCAAAATCGCTATGATGGTTCTTGCCGACTTAGAATTATGTTGAGGGCTTAACTGAAGTTGTTTAGAGTTGAGACAGTAAGAGCTAACAGTTCAACCTTTTCTTCCCCTTTTATGGGTGACTCCACGTGTGTGTGCTGTATGTGGTGTTACTTCATACAGGGCCTCTGAGAGGGCATTTTCAGTGTGTTATATCAACCACAGCAAACACATCTAAGAGCTGCTCTGTAATTCTCTGGTTCTAAAAGATAGGATTCCATCCTCCCCTGGAGCCCCTGGACACCCCGGGATCCACATCCCTCCTCACAGAGATTCAGCCTCTGAGAAGATGCCGATGAGGTGCCTTACGGGATTTTATGGTTTTGTGGTGGGATGCACAATTATATTTTATCCAATGGGCAAGAGATCTTATGCACAGATTTATTTTTCAATTTTCATATATTTTTAATTTAAATGTTCAAAATATAAGTTATCTAGAAAGCATCCAGTTTGATTTATGCTTTATTTTAAATGAGCTTTAACAGGTTTTAGAGAACTGCTTTGTAGTTGGAAGCACATCGCCACATGGTTAGTTCCCAGCTGCACGTCCTTCGGTTACCGGGGCTTCAGCACCAGTTTGGGTGTTTGTGTTTTTGGCTTTGCCTGGTGACACTCCTGCCCTGATCCTGTCTGTACTGACCACAGGCCAGGGTGTGCTGCACGCTTCCTACCTAGTCTCCTCTTCTCGTGTTAAAGAGAGTTGTGGTTTGTACTAGTTAAACAAGCAGGGGTATGTAAACAAGCAGGGGTATATACACATACACACATATACATATATATATGGAGAGAGAGAGAGATTTTTGCTATAAGGTACAAGCACTTGCTGGAGAGACAGAGACAGAGAGACAGAAAGTGAGAAATCACCCCCTGGGAGGATGGCCACACTGCAGTCCCTTCTCCATCCTCCTTTCAGGAGTTTGGGCATGCACACACACGCACCTGGCATGAACTTCTCACTGCCGCGTCCAAGACTGGCATTGCGATCAGCCATATGGGAGTCCAGGGACATAACTGTTTTGCCATCTGCTGGCCCTGCAGGGATAGAGTTAGTTAGAATAACTTTTGCAGCAGGGAGAAGAGTCCAGTGCAAACGGAGCTCAACTCTAATCTGTGCATGGGCAGCCAGGTGTGGGATCGCAGTCAGTGATGATTTCAGAGGGGAGCAGACCTCCTGTCAACCTCATCGGTATTTGCTAACTGGCCATTATGGAAGTCAGGCTCCTACCCTCCTGCTGAGAGAGGCTGACAGTCAGGACCCTTTCTTCAGGCCTTGATTGGCGGTGAGGTCTTTTGGAAGCCTTCATTGTTCTTGGATGGGCAATTTAAGAGGGAGAGGTGTCATCCCTGGGGTGTGGCCTTGAGCTGTTATAAACTATGTTGATTTTTAAAAGATATTTATTTAATGTTATGTATTCATTTATTTCAATTTGAAGAGAGAGAGAAAGAGAGAGAAAGCAAGCCACCAGGTCCAGAACTCGAACTGTGGTCAATCATGTGGGAGCGTCTGGCGCCCTAACCACCATGCCGCCTGCTAGTCCCTGTGTTTTTTTTTTTTTTTTTTTTTTTTTTTTTTTTTTTTTTTTTTTTTTTTTTTTTTTTCTTTTCTTTCTTTTCCTTTTTTTTCTTTTTTTTTTTTAGAGAGATTTTTGTTACAAGGCACCTCCACTTGCTGGAGAGACAGAGAGAGTCACAGAGACAGAAAGTGACAAATAATCCTCGGGGTGGGGGGGGAATGGCCATGCTTCAATCCCTTCTCCATTCTTCTATCAGGATCTTGGGCACGCACACATACATGCCTGGTGTGAGTTTTAAGCCATTGGGTCTGGGACTCGAACCACGTTAGACTCCGTGGGAATCCAGCGATGTACCTGACCTGGCTAGGGCTCGGTCAGGAAGAGGGTCTGTGTCTGTTAATGTGTCTCTTAGCAGTGAGAGGCATTTCCGTGTGATCTTGACCAAAAGTTCACTGTTTTTTAAGTCCACTCATTTATTTCTTTCATGAGCAAGAGGGATGGAGGGGTAGAGAGGGAGGGAGAGAGAGAGGAGGAGAAGAATGAGCCAGCCACAGGGTCTTGACACACAATTCATCCCCAGCCCTTAGTCACTACTGGAAGCGTGTCCCTGACATATTCTGGGAGCCTTCCTATGTGGGGTTGCCTTGTAGAGCATCATGTTTCATTTTGTTTTTAAGAATTATTTTGTTCATCATTATCATGATTTTTTCAATTTGACCACAGAGTAACAGAGAGAATGAGAAAGCAAGCTGCCAACTCCAGGACTTGAACTATGGTTGGCCATGTGGGAGTCTAGCACCTTAATTACTATGCTACGTGCTAGCCTTTTAAAAGAATTATTAACTTAATTTTATTTGTAATTGTTATTTTTAAAAATTTGCTATAGGGTGTGTGTGCGAGAGAGAGAGAGAGAGAGAGAGAGAGAGAGAGAGAGAAAGCCAGCTGTCAGGTTTGGGACTTGAATTGCAGTCAGCCATGTGGGATGTGGGGGGGAGGTCCAGCACCCCAACCACCATGCCACCTTCTGGCCCCAGATCTGTGCCGCCATCTGTCTCCTGAGAGTTCAGGTTCCACCATGCCTTTGCCGGTTGTCAGCAAGCTGCCCACAGCCCTTGAGAGGAGCCAGGTTGGAAAATAAAGGGGACAGGGAGTTCAGACAGTCCAATGTGGATGAGAGGGGGGTGTACGTAGGAGCCCCCAGGGCGCTGTTGGGGCAGGGTCTCAGGGAAGGCAGGGGTTGGACTGGGGCCAGGACAGAGCCTCAGGCATGGCAGTGAGAGGGTCTGATGGCCGCACAGACGGGCTCCTCCTCACAACCTGGTGCGAACGTGGGGAGGTCTGCTGGGAGGGCCTTAGGCTGCCTCGGCCGTGCCCAGATGTGTCAGGGTCCAGGCTGCTGCCAGTACCCAGATGGCTGCGAGCTCGCACGGGTGTTTCTGGTTTTGAGTAGTTGGACAAAATCAGAAGACCACTTCACAAAGAGTATAAAACTCACATTTTAGTGACCATAAGCAAATCCCATCAGAACACGCTGCACCGTGGGATTAGCCGTCTCCGGCTGTCTTCACATGGCATGGTCCCAGCCAGGCTTGGGGACCGGAACACCCGCTGCCTGAACCCCCCAGGGGAAGGTGCTGGCCTCTGAGGCATGGAAATGGGCTTTTGTCAAATGCCCGCATGGGGACACTCAGCTGTTTGCGGGCAGGCCCTAGGGGACCACAGGTTAAAGGAACAAGACCCCTTCCATCTCAGAGGCTGCAGTGTGGCGAGGTTTCTGAACAGGTGGTCTCACTGACATGTGGTTGGATGAGCTGGTTCTGGGGGTGCCTGGTGGGAGGGGTCTCTGTCTGCAGAAGCCCCTGAGATGCCTCCTGGGGCTGTGCTGCATGGGCTACCGCCAGGAGGATGGGGGGTCCAGGCTGAAGGCAGGAGCTGGGACAGGGACTCAGATGCCACAGGACTGCGGAGGAGTGGGGGTGACATGGGAGCATCTGGGAGGTAGCATGGAGAAGAAAGAGGCTGCTGGGACGGTTCTGAGGAGGGTGACAGGGCCATGGTCCGTTCTGGCAATGGCTTCCTCTGCTGAAGTCACACATTGCCGGTGGCTTATCACAGCAGATGTAGTCAGGAGCCGGACTTTGAGACCAGTGGGGCCGGAGCAGGGCCCTAAGACGAGATCGGGCTGGGCCTCTGGGGAAGTGGACGGTGGGTTTCCCTCTGATGCCACGCAGAGAAGGATCGAGAATCACGACTTTCTCTCTTCTTTTGCACCCAGGCTCTTACTGAAACCTGTCACGAGTGTCCCATGAATTGTGTAGTGAGCGAGCCTCCAGCAAAAGCTCGTCACCTGTCCTCTGAGACTTTGTGTCAGACTCATCTGTGAGACTCTGCCTGTGCTTGTCGGCATCCACTGTTGGGAAGTCGTGTCTGGCCCCATGCTCCCCTCCGTAGAATGCAGAGAAGAAAGGTAAGGATGGCGGTTCTGGGCTGTGAGAAGGCGGGACTCTGAATCTCAGTGAGTGGGGAGTTGGAGCTGAGTACCGCACACATTTGGGCCAGCGGGTTCGTGATGGCTGAGGTCAGGGAATGGGACCAAGGAGCTTTTCACTTACTGTGCCCCTCTTTTAGGGTTCTGCCGTTGGGCATGCGCTCACCAGAGAGTGACAGACAGAGGGAAAGTGGGAAGCCATCCCCCGGGGATGCCATGGCAGTGGGTGATGGGTTCTGTAAGTCCACAGTGCAAGTTTTGGTAGGAGCCTGTGTGCAGGGAAGACATGTCAGAGTCCGGAGTGAGGGTTTGTTCCATGAAGAAGATGCTGCCCCTTCCCCGGTGGAAGTGGCCCAGTGCAATCACCCTGCCACCAGGTAGCTGGCTGGTCTGAGCCAGGGATGGCACCATGGCAGGCACTTGGTGTTGGCCCGTGCCACTGGCAGACTGGGCATTTGATGGTGGTGGCTGTAGCCTGGTGGGCCTTGGGGACAATAGTTATCTGCAGAGGATGGGTGGGCTTTTCTGCAGTATCTCAAGGGCCTGGGCTATGATTCACCCATACGGTCCTGCAAGAGCTCCGGACAGCGTCCCCACCTGTGCGGAACTTCGGTACTGGCACAGGAGGCAGAGGGGTGTGCGTGGCCTCTGTCCTGCTGTGGAGTCTGCTCGGACTGCTCTCTAAACTAGCAGCTTCCGGGGCATGCTGCAGCAACTGAGTTGGGACCCCGGAGCTCTCATTCACTTCCCAACTCGTCTGTGAGATTGGAGTCAGCAGCCAGTCCCGTCACCCTTGTAATATGCTGTGCTCCTTAGTTCGCCTGTGTGCAGGCTCCACCCTTGTGCCACGCAGAGCCGCGTCTGCCGAGTACAGCTGTGATGCAGGCTGGCGCACCTTCTCTTCAGACGGGGTAATGGCGGCTCAAGGGCCGCACAGGTCACCCACCTAGGTCTGTGAGCATGCTTGGTGGCGTTCTGCCTCACAGTGTCTTTCTCAGATCATGTTCATGGCATTAAGAGATGTGTGACTGGGGGCCAGCAGCTGGTATGGTGGATAAGGTGCTGGATTCCCTATGGCCAATCCCGGTTCGAGTCCCGGACCCTGTGGCTTGAAAATCACTTCGGGCACATGCCTGTGCCCAAGCTCCTACAAGGAGAACGAGGAGGGGGTTGTGATGTGGCCATCCCCCTGGGGGTGTCTTCTTACTCTCCCTCTCTGTCTTTTTTTTTTTTCTTCTCCACCTTTTTAATGACTGAAACATAAAACATCTAAAACTGTAGCTTCTGGAAGAACCACTTATTCTTGTCTGTCTTGTACCTCTCTTCAAACTTGACCTTTGCCTCCTGCCGGGCCTTGCGTTTAAGAGCTGGGTCTCTGAAGACATCCTTGTTGACCACAGTTTTGTCCAAGGGAATATCTACAGAGTACCTTGTGGGCATGAGGTGATTGTAGTTATAAACCTTCACAAAAGACTTGATCTTTGACCTCTTGGCGATTTTCTTCTTGTCCATAGCAGCTGTCACTTTGCGGGAATAGCAGTCAATTCCAGCCACGAGAGCATGGCTGTAGGCCGATCTGAGGTGCCATCATCATGTTCTTCACGATGACGGCTTTGCGTCCGGAGTAGCGTCCGGCCAGCGCCAGCACCACTTTGCTGGGTTTCATGAACTGGCCCATTTCGACAGCAACCACCAGGGCCTACGGAAAGGAGAGACCTCTCCCTCTCTGTCTTTTTCTCTCACTGTCTCTGGTGAGAGCCGGGTGATGCTGAGTGTGGCTGTTTCCGCTCTGGGCCTCAGTTTCCTCGTTGGCAGAAGGCACAGCGATGGCTGTTACGTGGATGGGTGTTAAAGCGCCTAGGAAATGCCTGGTGTGTGGTTAGCAGATGTGTCTGCATAGGAAAGAAAAAAGAAAAGAGCTGTCCCCACAGGATGCAGGTTTCAAACCATCCGTCCTTATGGCGTTGTTGCCTTGAATTTCCACTTCTGAACTTTTAATTCCATTTAAAAGGACTGTAGTACCTTTAAAGTATCATTTCCAATATTGCTATCTACATTTCACACATTTAAAAATATTTGAAGTCATTTTTCCTGTATCTCAGTTTGCATCTTATAATTCATATGCCTTTTACATTTGTTTCAGTTATAATAGAGTGGAATATAACTTTGAAAAATAACGTTTTGGTGGGTATAGTTATTTCAATATTAGTAGAGATGCTTTTCAAGACAAAGTTTTTAAAAAATTTAAATTAACTTTTTTATTATTATTATTTAATTTGATCAGAGAGAGAAAGGAAAAGTAAGAAAGCAAGCCACTGGGTTTGGGTCTTGAACTGTGGTTGGCCATGCGGGACTTCAGCGCCTCAACCACCACGCCATCTGCCAGCCCCCAAATATCATTTTGGGAACCAAATGGCAGTCCTCCTTTCATTGTGTGAAGGCACCCTCCAGCATGCCTCCCCTGGGATGCAAAGCCAAGTTCTTTACACAGTAAGACAGAGAGGAGATTAGGAGCAGACTCAGAGTTTGAAAAGAGAAAAGGCCAGAACAGGTAAAAGATGAGGCAAAAAAACCTAGATAATCGAGTACATTAAAGGTGAGAGTTAAATAGAATGTTATTTTAGTATGTTTCACTTTAATCATAAAATTAGTTGATGACAGCAAAAGGTACTTAGCACTGTAAAAGGGAGACAGCACCCAAAGGTTAGGCTGACCAGCTGAGAGGCCTGCAGGGGCATAACTAATGTGCAGCCCGTGTGTGCCCTGTGACAGGAGGGGCACTGGGGAAGCTGAGGAGTCAGTGCCATGCCACCTTTAGTTACCTGCAACAAAATATACCCTATCCCTACTCCCAAAGGAAATGCACTCTAACAACCAGTGCTTGTCTAAGAGCCAACACTTCTATAATACTTCCAGTCTGCATTATGATCTGTTCATTTTAAAAAGTTTGTAGAAAAATAAGATGTAAGTACAAGTTTACTTTGCAAAATTTTTGAAATCCATGCATAGCTTTTTAGTATATGTGCTGCCAAAGCGAGCACCATGCATAGCTTTTTAATAATATTTTTCACCTGTTTTTTGAAAACCTCTCAAATGCACAGTCATTTTCTGTCAAACCATTGTGTAAGATAAAACAATCTCCTCTCATTTTACAGATTAGGGAACAGTTAAGTAATTTGCCCATATAACAGTGTTGCCAAAGGTCAAATCTAGAATTTATATCAAAAGAACCTGAGTCCAAAGTCATTGTTTTCATCACTATAGTAGGATGAATACTTTCACTATCCTTTCAGTATACAAATAAACACTCTTACCTAACATACTTGGGTATAGTTTTCCATTGTATTTTGCTCTTCATTCCCATTATCAGAGTCTATTTTACATATTACTTTGTATGAATATGTAAGAATGAACTATTAGAAATTGTAATTCTGGGATCCAGCAGGTGGTGTGATGGTTAATGTGCTAGATTCCCACATGGACAACCACAGTTCAAATCCTGGACTGGCAGCTTGAAAATCACACCAGGTGCATGCCCCAAATCCCAGGAGGGGACTGGAGGAGAAAGGATTGTGGATGGCCATTTCCTTTCACTTTTTGTCTGTCTCTGGTGAATCCATGCACTCTATGGTAAAAAACCTAAATAAGAAAAAAAAAAAGAAAAAGGAAAGAAATTCTAATCCTTCAGAGACCAAAAAACTATTGTATATCGACAATTTTGTATGATTCGGTCTAAGAGGTTATTTTTTTAAAATCAGCCAAATGTATTTTGTTGTTTATTATTAATTTATTTAGCCTCTTTGTTTTCTGAGTCACATTATACAGTTTCCAATACTATTTACCATGGTAAAAGCTGGCATGGCTCTGTCTCTGCATGCTTCTCTGGGTATACTATTACCGGGACTAAGAAGTGGCTTAGGAGCCAGTAGGGCATTTTAATCACCATTAGTCCACTTCCACCCCCAGGTCTTTGTAATGGACAATTGGGAAAAGGCAAACGTATGTAAAACGAGATGCAAATGAAGCTTCAGGATTGTAGGAATTACAATGAAAATCTAAATACCCATCAACAAATCTCAGTGCTTCAGGGTTATTTCCTCACACTCCTATGCTCCACATTTCCTTTTCCCAAGCTATACAAATACCCACATTTCCAAATGATCAGTGTGTCCACTGCACCTGCAGACAGGATATTATTGGGTAAAAAAAAATCACGTTTACTTGTTCATTAGTATCGTATCAAAGTGCCTTTTTAACCCCGTCCAACTATCATGGATTATTGGTAAGTTTAAATGTATCCAAATCTAATAGGTAAAGAAAGCTCTTGTTTCTTACTTTTAAGTAGGTATCCAAGATTATATATTCATTTTATACATGAATAGCCAATAATTTACCCATTCTGTATCAGAGAACTTAATTTTATTGTGATTCGGGAAGAAATAGTTTTAAAAATTAACAAAACAAGGTAGAAACTAGCAAAGGGGAAACACCCCATCATATGTGAGTAATAGGGCATCTTTCAGAGTTCGAGACTCTACTTTGGACAGGGTTCCCGGCGGGCGGGCGGCAGACGTCGGTGCGGTCCCCGCACTGCGGCAAACGGCGCGCCTGCGCGGCAGCGAGCCGAGCGGGCACAGGGGCGCATGCGCCGTGGTTGCGGTGCGGGTG